AAAATAGTTCATCCAACAGCCCAAATACGATTTCACTCTATTTTACTCATAAGAGGGTGTGGGTGTGGGTATCATTATAGGTCTTGTCTTCACCCACACTCACACCCTGTGATAGACATGCACTTAACATAAGACAAGTTAACCCCCATATAGCCATACATAGTGATTTTCTTTGTGTAATATTTGTCATTGATAATAAAGTCCATTCATTAATTTTAGCTGAATAACGTGCATTAATTAAAGCACGAAAAAAAACTAATGTGTGCAAGTAATAATGATAAAGGATGTAATAAAAGTAAAGCTTCATATGGTAATGTTGATGATTGTTTTGTATGTGCATATAATTCTTCAACAAGTTCAATAAGAATATTATCTGATGATGATATTATTGATGAACTATCAATTATTGTTTGTTCTTTATTAACATGTTCATTATTTAATGAATTTTGTATTTTTATTTGGTCGTTGTAATAATGTATAAATACATGAAAGGATTAACACGATATATCATTTTTGGGATATTGACCAACTATTAAAAGTCTTTCAAGACTAATTGATATAATTTTTTGTGTTAAATTATCATCTTTAATTAATGATAATCAAATATCATATGAATTTAACTCAACTTCATGACTTTCAAGTAAAAATAAACATGATGCATATGCATGAGTTTTAGTTATTAATTTATAATTACGTTCAATTAAATGTATATATAATTCATTATATTCTTTTGTTGTGTGTTCAAGTAATATACTAGATTTACATAAATTATAATTTATTAAGGATATTATTAAATCATCTTCATCAAACCATGTACAAATAAATCAGATAGATATATAATTGAACCTATTAATTCATATTACATATATTTCAATTAGAATTTGTAATGATAATGGTAAATCAAAGCCATGATGAAAAAATAATCGATCAAATAAACTCTAAATTATATATTTTTAAAGGTAGATGCCAGCAAAGAAAATGTTCATACTCTAATTTTTTGATTGATAGAATATATTTGAAATTATTGATATAATCTTTTATCTCTATGAAATAAAATAGTTTGCATGTATTATATATCAAATCAAAGTCAGAGAAACACTAGATTTTCTGTTTGATGAAAGTAATAATTTAGCAATGAATTTATCTTTCTTTTAACTTAGAGTTCTATTTGTCGATTATTAAAACATATGTGAGACTTACATTAATTGATAATGGTAATGTATTATTACTTTGGATTGATGTTAATATAATATCATATGAAATTTGTCCATAGGATAATAAATCACGTGTACCTAACCGTTCAATATTTGTAAATAAATTATTTGAACTTGTATCTAATATTGATAAAAACAAAACAGATAAAATCTAGTTTATTTTTCAATCTTGTTACCATTGTGTTGCATGTGTTTCTAAAGTTTCTTCTTTTTTTTTAAATTATTTGTTGTTTGTTTATTTTCATCATTAGATTGATTTGTGGTGAATTAATTGAAGCCTATCTTTCTTGAAATTGTATTCTTAATAATCAACCAACTCCAAAATTGTCTTTATATAAATATTGGTAAACAAAATAATAATATAGCTATACAATATAAATCATGTCAATAAATATATGATATATATATATATTTAATTTTTCTTGTTAAATAATAAAGATGATCTTTTATCTGGTTCAATTAAATTTAAATATGATTATAATATATTTGATATAGTTAAACCATGTCGTTGATAAAGATATTCAAATATTCATAATAGTGTTTTCGATAATGTACAACATGATATTATTTGATCTGTTTCACAACTAAGAAATGATGTTCTTTTTTTGAAATATATTTATATGAATTATTTCTGATATAAATATTATAAAACATAATAAATCACGTATATCACCTGTTGAAAATTGACATGTTAATTCAACATAGTTTTGTATTTTATCAAAATACATTGATAGAGAATCTATGAATACAATTGAATATGGTTGATTATTAGAAGCATGATAAAAGACTTTTTTCATAAATTGTATTAGGTGTTGTTTCAATGTCATTTTAATTTGTTTCATTTGATATAACTATACAAAATCCTAGGAAAACAAAAAAAGAACAGATTTATATTGTTTCGTATTTTCTCAAATCAATTTTCATTTACTATAAGAATCATCCTAAAAATTTAATGGTGTGGAAAAAATCCAATACGTTTTCAGAGTTCACGAGTTCAAACTTATAGAGTTTATCGAAATTCTCGAATGCAATTTATTTCGAAATATAATATTAGAAAGACGTCGTTTTCTTTAATTGTAATAGTACAAATAGCACGACTGAGAATTTGATCAATAAGATTCGAGAGAAATTATTCGGTCATTGTACTAATGTAGCTTAAATGCTTTCCTTTACGATTTGTATTACCTGAAATTCTGCATATTTTCTATTTCAAAATATTTTTCGAAATTTTGAATTATTCAAAAGTCTCATCTATTACTAGCACATTAACAATGTCAAAGTAAAAAACAAAAATTTCTTTTAATTGGATTAAAATTTTTATTATACATATATATTTATTTATTTCGATAAATTAAACTAAAATATACCGGTGACATCCTAAATGGTAATCAGTTTTTATAAGTTACATTTTTAAGCATTTGTTCATAAATTTTTCTTGTTATATTCGTATGACAATTAAGATTATTAAAATCTTCTTTAATAATATCGATTGATATTGTTATTGATAATATTTATAAAATTTATGGTATATATTTAGGTCATAATTGTTTATTTAATGGTAATGGAAGAAATTGTTCAATTAATAAAACTAATATAAGACCACTTTCATATAAATGTATTCCTTCAGAAACGAATAAATGAGTTGCAACTGATGTATGATGTATAAGATCAAATAAAAAATAATAATAATAATTGATAATGTGTTGTTATTGATGTAAAATGTTCAACATATAATTTATGATGATATATTAAATCACAATAAGATTGTAATTGACCACTGATAGATAAATGTATTCTTGATGATGATGGTGTTAATATTGGTGACTAGCATGCTTCTTGTGTATAATCAAGCATATTCAGAATGTGTCCATTGTAATAATAATGAGATATAAAATGATGATCATAATAATTTAAAACATTCATTTAAAATAGTTAAATATGAAAATGTCTCAAGACAATGTAGAGTTTCATCATGAATTCATAATTGATGAAAATCATTTACAATTGTTCGAAATTGTTTAACTAAAATAAAATCATAGATCTTATATAAGCATAGGAATTTGAAAGTCAAATGTATTTCGCTAGCTCATTAGTAATTAATGAATTGCAGGAAAGTTTTATCTTCAAATTAATGGGTGATATGTACATAAAGATAATCGGATGCAAGAGAACCTAATGTCATATTGATTTGACCACATAATTGTCGAGTATTAGTTAAAATTCATAATATTATGTCATGTAAGATACGAAGAAGAGCTCTGAAAACAAAAACGAGAATAATAGTTTTTAAATTATAAATAAAATCATTTCGAATACTTACACACTAAAATTTTCATCTCATGTTCCATTAACTGATAATAAAACATCATTCTATCGTGTTAATATAGCATATTCAGTTAAATTTTGTACAAGACATCGAAGTATTATATTTATATTGATTAACTATCGATTTGTAGATTGACAATTGACATTCTAAAAAAAATTTTGAACTACAGAAAAATTTTATCAATAAAAACAACGGACATTTCTATTTACTAATACTCGAAAAGCAATAACAAATGGATCAATTGATCGTAATGCAGCTGATGAGACAACATCAAGTAGTGTTAATTGTGTGGAATAAATATCCAAAAGTGATTGATCCTATTTGAACAAAAATAACCTGAGATTATAAATGAGCAAGAAGTAAATCGACAATTTGTCGTGAAAGACGTTTCCATTTATCATCTTCAATTTGAACACTATTAACAATAATTGTGAACAATCGTAAAGCCTATAACAATATAAATTCTATTATTATTTTTTCAGTAAATACACATGATATGAAAAGATACTTTTATTTATAATAATTAAGACGCCTAGTTTTCCTTCCAACTCAAATACATAACAACAAGGTGATTATTTTCAGATCATCAATTCGTTGAAGTGTGGGTGTGGGTTCAATCGAGGAGAAAAATTACATCTATACACTCACACTCACACCCCCTCGAGTTTCTAAGATATTCGAGACCTTATAGAGGGACACTTTTTGTTCACTCTCATTTAATAAAACTTTTTAGGAATTTTAATTATTCGCATAACTCGAACAAGAAAAAAAATCATGTAAAACTGGTTCTAATGCTGCCAAAGCTAAATAAATAATTTTAATGATAATTTCATTTTCTCGAAAATGTTTTTTTTACTTCCTACCATGTGTTTCAGGTTCATGTCCACTTGCTAATAATGAATCATAATGTTTTATTAAATCTTGTATTTTAATAACTCGTTTTGAATGAAGTGTATCATGTGATAACATAACAAGAAATTCAGCAATACAATAAATAAAATGTTATTTAAAAATGAACGAAACGATTAGAAATGCAACGAATTTCATCAGCTTCTAATTAACTATTATTAAAACGAATTAAAAGTAATTGAACAAGTAAATCGAGTACAGCAACTTGCAAATCACTTTCATTTGTATTAATACATTTTTTAAGACTAATTTTTTTTAGTTCAATAAAAACTAAAATAGAAAACAAAAAAACAGACAGAATAAATCAAATTCGTTTTTTTTTTGTTTATTTTACTGTCGTATTGCACTATTTATACTTGATGCAGAACATGAACCAAATAAAATAAATTATCGATTGTCGAATACTTATTGTATGAATATAAATTAAAGAATTATTTAATGATACTTGTGAAGAAACATTTGAAGATTTAATAAAAACTAAATTAAAAGAATATTTTTAAATGAATATTGTGTTAAC